GCTCTCTTGAATAAGACCAATTTAAGACTCAACTTCGCGCGCGTTGCGTGGTGTCTGCGCCTGCCAGGCGGCTACCTGTTGCGGTGATTGTACAGGTGTCTGCACCACCACATCAAGCTTAGATAGCACAGCCTGTGGGTCGTGTGGGACTAGACCAGCGCCTCTAAAGCCAGCTTGGATATTCTCCTTCGTGATAGACTGCTCAAAAGCAGTCTTAAAGGCTGGTAGGAAGGTCTCTTTGCTGATATAGTGGGTGCGGTTGCGTGCCAAGCCTGAAATAGCGTCGCCATACTTGCGCTTCAACGGCGAGAAGCAGGCGACGTCAAGGGGCTGCAACAGGTGAGACGAGTGCGCAGGCATGCAGAGAAGCACAATATTCTTCTCCTTGCAAAGATCTTAGAAATCGACAGAGCAGTGGCTCTCATGGCCATCAATAATGAGCAGTCGATACCCACCCACAGTAGAGCTCTTTGTATGGGTATCAAAGTGCTCTAACTAGGCAAGACCAAGCTAATTATTCGTCCAGCCATTAGGACTGACTTCAAGAACCTAGTCAGCAGGCAAATCCTCAAACTAGACGTTAATAAGCACCTTGCCCGCAAAGACAACGAAGGGTAGTATTCAGCAACCCAACGCGCCCACGCCTTGGATCACAGTAACCCACTCACGGTTGCCTAGCTGTATCCGCTTCTTTTTCCTATATCCTTCTAATGCTGTAATAACTAAATATAATAAAATCTTGCCTATTATAAAGCCAGTCTCGTTAAAGTTGTAGATATCGTCGTCCACAATACCCCACTTCTGCCTTGTCGCCTGGACTAAGTCGAACCAGCGCTGGATAGCCACTAGATCCTCGCAGGCGGCTCGCTGGTGATCATAGGGACAGCTCCAGCGCGTACGGAGCTCAGGAGTCCGCTTAACGAAGTTGTCAACCCAGTTCTTGCCAACAGGGTTGCCACCACGCTCCTCTAATAGTTTATTAGCCATTACTCGAACGTCAAGCTTTGTAGGCGCAAATCCTTGCGCAGACTCTTCAAGAATACGCTCAACTATAGCCTCCTCTTCTAGCTTATCTAGACGCTTCAATTTCGGCTCGCAGTCGCGTCGAGGGCGCTTTCCAGCGCGTCGATCAGATAGAGTTCTTTGTAGGACGTTGTAGATAGTAGCAGCACAGTTTACACTCTAAACACGTTGCAACTAGACGTTAAAAAGAGCAAGTTAAAGATTAGATTTAGAATATATTAATAGACGGTTGCGTTGTTGAGACATCACGCGTTATAGTAATGAAGTTGATGGGCTGGTGGGGCGTTAGCGACTCGCTTGGGTTAACTAACTACAGTGCCCGTGCACCAGATGAGCACCATCGCCAGTTGAGCACCCCCACCACCACAACAACAAAACTTCAACGCGTCAAAACTCAACCAATATGGACCCGATTCAAGAAGCGATTGCAGAAATCGAATCGCGAGAACCAGGAGATAAATTCT